TCTCATGGCGGAATGGCAGCAACGACTGTCGCAACCGAGGGCTGGGCTCGCTGCCATCGCAGCGGTAAGTCCCCTCTTTGAGGAGTGGCTTGAGAGACGCTACGGCGTCCTCACCTACCGCCTGACGCAGGTCCTCACCGGACATGGAAGTTTCGGGAGGTACCTGTGTCTGATGGGGCGGGAGGAAACGCCCGGGTGTCATCACTGCGAGGACCGCCCTGAGGACACGGTGGAACACACGGTGGGAGAATGCCCTTCGTGGGCTGAGCACCGCCGTGTCCTCAGGGAAGTGATCGGCGATGGCGACCTCTCGCGTCCGGGCCTAGTGCAGGCCATGATGCGGAGCGAGGGGGATTGGGATGCCGTCTCCTCCTTTTGCGAAGCAGTCATGCTAGCTAAGGAGGAGGCGGGACGCGTGAGGCAGCGAAGCGCTGCCTCCTCGCAACCCAGCCATCGCGAAGGACACACCGGGCGTCGGGGATCGCGGGACGATCTCCGGCCACCGTAAGCGCGGGCCTGCGGACGGCGAGCATGGGTGGCTCCCCGTCCGACCAGAAACAGACCCGAGCGTACGGCGCGTCGCGTTCCGCGCGCGCCTCAAAGAGCCATCAGACCACCACAGATGGGGCCCAATAGGGCCGATGCCATTTCGGAGTCGCGGAGAACCTAACGGGTAACCGGGGCTCCGGCTCGACGTGCAGGAGAAGGAACGGGGTGGTTTTTAGTCAGTAAGAGTCTGACACTCCCTCCCGCCTCACCCAGGCGGGAGCAGTCATTCGATGATTTTCCCCCTTAAAAAAAAAATCTCCTAAAATATCCTCTCTATCATTCCAGGATGCAAACTACAAATACACGACAACAGGAACTATTAGTGTCCGATGGAACATCGTCTCTCAAGCTCAGGTCGGTGGTCTAGTTGCTCCACCTCCTCAACCGGGTACCAGTTCAGCATCAGCGTTACTCTTGGGAGCTGAAGCTGCTTTAAAGAAGTACAAGAAAGCCAGAGCGAGACTCGCAGAAGCTACAAAAGACCTTAGTGATGTGAAGTATGCTGCAGGTGATGGATAGAAGACACAGAAGATCATTGTTAGAAATCTTCTGCAGAAATCGTCAGTTTGAAGCTATCCCTCTGACTTAGAAAAGTTCTCTTCTCGTATGGATTGGCTTTAGTTAGACCGTTATTGAAGCTTCAAGGAACGTTTCCTTTCCTCTGGCTTCAAGAATGATACATAGAAAAAACTTAGTTAAGAAATGATATTTATAAGTTAAAAAGTGTACAATCTAAGTCTGCATACCCATCTTTATATCTTAAGGTTCAAAATGCAATATTCAAACAACTGTTCTTGACATAAAATGTAATTTATTTGTGATTTATTTTTAAATAAATAAATTAGTTACACACGACATTTAGTTTGGTTTAATACTACCTAAATATATAAAGAGGTAGATTATAATTATTACAATTTAATTTTTTACACTAATAGGTTTACGCTCGAATACTGAAAGGTAACTCAATTTTAAATTGTACTTAAATATCGTGCCATCTCTATCATTTTACAAAGAATTTGTAGAGACAGAACTATACTTAAGCGCGATGAGTGGCGTTTGAGTATTTTAGCGTTAGAATACATATTTATAAAAGGTTTAAGATACGAAACACGAACCTAAGATCTCGTATAGTACTTTTATTTTAGCGACGAAGTATTTAGCGAAATATAATATAATCTAAAAATGATTAGTACCTATTTTATGGTATAACTATCTTGAGATATAATTACATTAAGTTTATTGAATTACTTAAGAACGCGACGTGGCGTGTGACGCGTTTGCTTGAAATTATGGACCCTGGTTTAATTTGAAACTAATCGGGGAATCTCGTCAAAAAGTAGCGTGTGTATGCAGTTTGTTTAACCTAGTTTAATTTAAATATTTGTATTACAGTATTGTACATTACGCTGGTACATTTTGGACCTCTAATTTGATCTTAAAATATTTAATCTGGTGTCTTTAACATACCGGTGGCGAAAGAACGCTTCTTTAAAGACTGAAGCATTTCTTAACTCGTTCCTCTTATTTAACCTTTAGTTACTGAATTAATATGTTTAACGGTATACAATTAAATACATAATTAAATCAACTATTATGAAAAACCTACAACATTTGTTCATATAAAAGTTGTCTCTAAACATTGGAAATAAGGTCTATAATGCAGCTAGTGGAGAGCGGTCGCCGGTGACAGCTTGACGAGATGGCGCTAGTGAGTTGTAAAGTTGAAATGAGTGACTTGATTGTTGGTGTACTAATCGAATCCTAGAAAAAGTATAGTGAAACTGAATGGTATATTCTTTATGACCTTTTTTTGCCTATTCTTCGCGCGAAAATATACAGTAAGGTATGATCTATTTTAGGATTGATTCCCTTTCAGACGAGTTCTTAGAAAATATCAACATTTCTGAGTTTTTAGTTTTTACCATATCGAATAGCATCTCTAAGTTGTTGAGTGACTACGGCTAGGCGTCTTGCTTGACGTCTCCGAGCGTCACGCATGCGCATTAGACGCACACTCCGCGCGTCTGTCAATGCCGCATGCGCAGCGTGGTTTGCCCGACGCGCGGCGTCCATGGCTGTTAGCTCTTGCCGAAGAACCGCAGACTCCCACGAACTCAGAGCGTTTTGTATTGCTACTTTCTGGAAATTCAATGATTGTGATCAGTAACGCAGTCTTAACTACTGACATTAGATTATTAATCAGTCGAGGCCCCGTGGGTATACGTCCAATGATTGACCATTTCAGGGGAACATATTCCAAGAACACCCTCGTCACATAAAAGGTATTTTCTACACCCATTGAAGTGTACCGGAGGCAGGGGCGTAGCTAGCGTGGTATCTGCCGTATCAATTATACGGGACCCTCGGACTACAGGGGACCCCAACGTGCATAGCAAAAATTAATAAACTTCCCAATTTTTATTCTATTTTAGTACCCGCAAAAGTCAAAATAAACGATTTTTTCCCGCGTAAAGCATAGGTTCAAAGGTTCGCAGAAACATAAGAAAAATAAAAGTAATTAAGATCCGCTAATTAGGGCAGAGGGAGTTGCCTGAAAAGAATTTCGGTTTTCCGGACCGGAGGCTTAATCCACCCCACAAAAAGGCCAACAGCGCACTTGTAACTTCTCTGGTCTTGTAGTTCCATAGGCGGCGCCGATTGCTTATCATCAGGTGATTCATCAGCCCTTGTCCTACTACAAAAACCTGATCGGTCGCTAACCTGAGAAGCATCCTTCAACATAGCAGTCCGTCGTTTACGAGCGTCGTCAGCTCTCTTTTGCGTGTCCATGTACTCCACGTGTTTCCTGAACTGGTCCGTTTCGCTGATGAGGGAGCGTCTGTCAGCGGCCAGCTGTGCCCTAGCTTCTTCTTCTAGAGCCTTGTCCACGAGTAGACTTGTCTATGGAAATAAAATAATGGAATTGAAATTACTTTAGGTACCAGTGCCACGGCTAGGTACCTGATATATTATGTTTATTTTGCTATTGTAGTGGTAGGTAGAGGTGCACATTAACACAATATAATGCCCCTGTGCAATGTAACACCCACTTTTCACTATTTATGTTCTGAGCCCTATGTAATAAGAAGGTGAGCCTATTGCCACATACCGGGCACAAATCCAGACTCCGTGCTACTAGCTCAGAGTAACTACTCTGAGGAGGAACGTTGACACAAACTCATAGGTAGGCGTTTTTTGAAAGTTCATTAAAAACATTAAAAAAGTGGGAGAACCGTTCAAGATTTTCTGGTATCTCATTTACCTTCTTGTCGTCAAGATAAGCTCGCAGGACGGCACTGCGATGTTCCTTGCACTTGATGCTGTCCATCAGTTCCCGCTGCCTCAGGAGAGCCTCCATGAATTTCTGGTGTCGCATGAACTCTTGTCGAGCCTTTTCCTCGCGCCGCTTCATGATTATATAGCGTTTGTACTCGTGCATAGTTTCGGCTTCCACCTGTTATATTAATGGGGTATTAAGTATTGTTTAACTCGTCGAGTACCGGTTTTGCAGACACAATTATAGAACAATAGGTTGCGGTCACCGGTGACCGCTTGGTATTTGACAGTTTAAATTACTAGGTCATTACTCTTTAAGTAGGTATAATATATTTAGCTGCAGTGAGATGTTCGAGTATTTATACTTTAGCTTTAAACAAAAGCTAAAATTGAATAGAAAAAACTAGACAACAACGATCTATGGGTAACCCTATAAATATTACTTAGCGTATTATCTTTTAAATATTATAAAAATCAAGATAGTTCATTAAACGCCTGCCTATTAATAGAAATTGACTCAAATCCTAGTATTAACTATTATAAAATTTGCAGGCGCAATTATTTTATTTCTTTAACACAAAAATGAAGTAAAATATTTTATACAGACAAAACTCTTACAATTTCTCTTTCTTCTTTTTCCTTCTGCCATAGTTTATGGAACTCGTCGGCCAGCTTCTCCTGCTCATCATCTTCAGCTCGCTTCCTTGCAAGAGCGGCCAACAGTCGCCACTCTCTATCAGGAATGGCGTCTAGGAGGCTCGTCTCAGTTTCATAGTCGTACGATCGAACAAATTGTGATATGGAACTGGGTACTAGAACAAAAAAAAAACTGATTTGGATAGTCTTCTTCAACGTCCTTGATCAAACCATTGATATGTTTTGTATAGAACCTCGAGAAAGAACTGGTTGTTTGTCAGCTCTAGATAGTAATTGAATTGGTTCTCATAACAATTAATATCTAACCCATGTATCTTGTACTAGCTACTTCCGCGCGGGTTTCACACGCTCTGCTCAGCTCCTATTGGTCGTAGCGTGATGTTTTATAGCCTATAGCCATCCTCAATAACTGCACTATCCAACATAAAAATAATTATTCAAATTATACTTGTAGTTCCGGAGATTAGCGCGTTCAAACAAACAAAAAAAAAATAAACTCTTCCGCTTTATATAATAGTATAAGATATAAGATAAGATTTGACCAAGGCCATGTCGTTTCTCAGAGTATCTGTTTTGTTTGTTGGTACAGCGCCTGCTTTATGTTGTGGGTACCATTAATGTTAGCACATTGTTATTGTTATTTTAGAAGGCGCTCAGTCATATTACACATTCTCATTTGCGCTTGTGTCGTGGTCACCCAGAGGTTAAGACGCCCGCTTCTCATGCATGAGGGTGCTGGTTCGAAACCTATCAAAGGCTAGTACCAATGTGCCTTTTTCAGAGTTATGTGTACTTTCTAAGATTATTTAGACACCACTGGCAACAGTAAAGGAAAGCACGTGGGGAAACCGCGACTTATAATTTATAATTATAAGTTTGACATCGCCAACCCACAACGAGCAAGCGTTGTGATTAATGCTCAAACCTTCTCTGTGTGAGAAGAGGCTTTGTTGATGATGATGATGATGATGATTTGCGCTTTTAGAACCAATACCTAAATCAAACAATAAAAAATCTACGCTCAAAAACTTGTCAGGATCTAATTCGATAGTGGCGCCAAATGGCGGTTGGAAAGAAATAATATTTATCTTACCATTGATGCCGCGAGGTGATCTCTTCCGCGGAGACAGGCTGCACCGTCGCGGGCTCTCTGTTATTATTTTATAACAAAACACCATTATATCAACTTCCTTAGTTTGTTCTTATTGTGGGAGTAATAACGACTTTTGTTAAGTCAATACTGGACATATAATCTGCTGATGAAATTGCTTTTTATTTTTGGTTCGTAAGGCTCTTCGGTCTCCGAACCAGAGATTAGTCCTTAGATAATATTAGAGATATGGACTAATAAACTTTACCCATTAGTCTAGCGGCTGAAATACATAAGCCATCTCGAAATATTAATCCTTAATCATTGGTTTGATTATGATTTTGACATCGCCTGAATACTCAAAGAATAATCAAGTTCTACTTAAATATCGTGCCATCACTGTCATTTTACATAGAATTTTTAGTGACAGAACTCTTAACGTTCGATATTTGGACATATGCTTTTTTGTGACAAAAATTTTCCCAAAAATTAAAATCTGTTGTTTATTTTAACTGTCAGTACCCAAATTTACTATCAATTGTGTTGAGAATGGCTATAAAAACTGCCTGAAAATTATAGCATCAAATTTTTAAGAATAGGCGGAAGCTAAAAAGGTAATTCACCTCATGACTTAGGTGTTAATACAGCATAGATAACATTTCATTGTTGTGGTCATCTGCCGCCGACCGTGCTAATGCCATTACCCTCAGGGTCAGTCAGTGGAACGAGTGCCCAGTCTACCTAGGCAGACTTTATGAGCACATTACCTTCCTACTATTCTAAAAAGTAGGCAGTAAAGGTGAAAGAAAGGATATTTTATTGATTACCAGACACGATACAGCAAAATACAAAAAAATATTTAACTAGCGAAACAAAAATCATCAGGTATTATGATTGGATAGGTATTCCTGCTATCATTAGAACATTATTTAGGAGCTATTTGTATTGTTGGTCCTCAGACACCATTGGTAAATAAGTATGAAGAATGTAAAAACGATTATTTTAAGTAGATACAGTCAGCCAACTTGATTCGAATCATTTTAGAACAAGAAAATATTGTCGATATCTAGATTTAGTATGCAACACAGACCGGAGAAAGAAGACAATTCAGTGAACCTTAATAACCTTTGCCCTTGAACTAAACGCCAAAGTTAAAACACTAAAAACCAATAAACACCAATTCCAAAACACTGTTTACACATTAAAAACACTATTTTGAACACTTTTGCACTAAAACTATAACATTTTTGTGTCTTATTCCTGAAAACTGAACATTAACTAGTCTGTATGGGTTGCTAGGTTTCCATCGATTTAACTTCCAGTGTTTGACTCAAGGTTATGGGGGACATAGATAACTATTACGTATGAATGGAATGAGCTGTGAAATAAACAAGTTCATGTTTTTAAGTAAATATTTCGCGTAAATATGAGTTAGGTAGGATTAAAGAATAATATCTCTAGACTCTAATCAATGGAACTATTGGCAAAGTGATGCATTCTGTATAAGGAATTATTTATTCTGAATTGGTTATTGGTGTCTTTTAGTTAGGTAAATACTTTGAATGTGCATTAAAACATTTCCCAGTTTTTAGGTGAATAACTCATATATTAATATTAGTTAATATTTAGGTAGAAAAGGTACTGGTAGACAAGGTACTGCTAAGGATTGGAATTCGTAGCCAAAGTTTGTATTCTGAAGGGGTGTCTTGAAGGCCCGAGTGAAAAGGTTGCTTATGGGACGACGTGCTCCATCGTAGACCACATCATCGCTTACTACCAGGCGAGATAGTTCATGGTCAAACTTCGGCCCATCAAATAGGTATAAAAAAGCAAGAAAGGGTTCTAGGGTCTAAGGGAAATTCTAGGGTCAGCAGACAAAACCACATAAGTAAAAAAAATGCTTATTGTTATTAACTCAACTCAACTCAAACTCTTTATTTGCATGTTAAGGTAATACATACAGGTCTTATGAAATAACAGGCACAGCTTAACGGCCTTTTTCAGGCGTTGCAAATTTTAGGGGTGTCACCAGCTTACTATAAATTACATTTTGGTTAACATTTTTTTACATATTTATTTGTTCGGAATATAGGTAAGTACTTAAGGTATATAATATATTAGTGGGTAAGTGCAAAATGTAAGTGGGTATTCTTAAAATGTATAGTATATTGTATATACATAGAATATTTATATTTAAAATGTATAGTATGTTGGTGTGTGCTTGTGGGTGTATGTATGGGGTAGGTTTAACATTTAATTTTGGTGTTATATTTTTCTTCGAAGAATTCTTTTGTCGAGTAAAAGCATTTTTGTATTAGGAACTTTTTTAATTTTCTTTCAAATATAATTTCTTTAGTTTCGTTTTGTAGGTCTTTAGGTAATCTATTGAATATTTTGACAGCCATGTAGTAAGGACTTTGGTTAAGCATTTTAATTCTAGATGGTGGTAGGTACAGTCTGTTTTTATGTCGGGTATTTACATTATGGGTGTCTTTTACTTTCGTGAAATTATCTTTATTTTTGAATACAAACTTGCATATGTCATAGATATATATGGATGGTAGTGTTAAAAGATTGTATTCAATAAAATAGGGCCTGCAGCTGTCTTGGTTATCTATTTGGGCTATGATTCGTATGCATTTTTTTTGTAATATGAATAGGTCATGAATATTTACACTATCTCCCCATAGCATAATGCCGTATCTCAACCAGGAGTACGCATATGCGAAGTAAGCTGATAGTGCCGTCTCGATATTGGTACTGCATTTAATTTGGAAAAGAGCGTATGTAAATTTTGATAATTTTGATTTTATGTGTTCTATGTGAGCTTTCCAGTTTATATGGGTGTCTATGTTTATGCCGAGTAGGTTAAATGTGTCTACAGTTTGTAAAGTTGTGTTTCTAAAGGAAGTGTCTATTGTTAGGGGGGGAGTTTTATAAGATCTGAATTGTACTGTTTTAGTTTTAGTGTAGTTTATCTCTAAGTTGTGATCGTCAAGCCATCGTGTTACTGATTCTAAGGTGTCTTGTAAAATAGGTGTAGGGAATTCTGATTTGTCATATTTTATCAGAATGGATATATCATCTGCAAATAATACTGGTAGGGTTAGGTCTTTGTTTAGAATTTTTGGTAGATCATTGATGTACAGTAAAAATAATATACATCCAAGGACACTACCTTGTGGTATTGAACATGTTATTTTTATTTCTTGTGATCGAGTTGTTTTTATTTCATTTGTTTTTGTGTCGTAGTTCTCTATTTGGACAATTTGGGATCTATTTTGTAGGTAAGATCTAAACCAAGAGTGAGCTGGACCACGAATGCCTGAGCCGTGTAGTTTGTCAAGAAGTATGTTATACAGTACTTTGTCATAAGCCTTCGTCATGTCAAGTAAGACGCCAATTACATACTTCTTGTCATTAATATGCTGAAGAGCGGTTTGTACATATTTATAAACAGCTAGTGTGGTGGATCTTGAACGTCTAAATCCGTTTTGGGAATCATCTAGGATTTTGAATTTTTCTAAAAAGTTGTATAGGCGGTTACACATTGCTTTCTCAAATATTTTGGAAAATGTAGGTAATAGGGCTATGGGTCTGTAATTACTAGGGGTGTCTGTGTCGCCTTTTTTGTGAATGGGTTTGACTAGAGAAATTTTTAAAGCGTCGGGAAATTGGCCATCTTGAAAACTTTGATTAATTAAATATGTTAGGGGGATAGATAATTGATCTGCGCATTGTTTTAATAGGATTGGAGGGACATCGTCTACTCCGCAGCTGTGTTTATTTTTAATTGAGCGAATTATGTTTACAATTTCCTTCCGGTCTACAGGACGTAGGTACATCGAACACTCGGGCGAGTCGACTACTGGTCTACCTTTTTTGTTGTGGTTTTGGTTTGTATCATTGGGGTTTGTTCCAACTGTTGTGAAATATTCGTTAAATAGGTTTGCTATTGTTTTTGGGCAATTTATCGTTTGGTTATTGTATGTTAGTGATATATTTTTACCGATATTTTTTAGGGGCCTTTTTGTTTTTTGTTTAATTATGTTCCACATTGTTTTT